TGCCTGCATGAATTTTAAAATGGGGACTTAGGTGCTTTTGAAAATTGTATCCAAACCCTAACTATCTCACCCATCCTTTCCTCTGTTGATCTCAAAGTACTTAATTAAACATAGCAATGAATTCACTCCATTTTATGAGTGGAGAAAAACTGAGCCACAAGCTCATTAAGGGACTCAACAGATGACATAGCAAGTCTGTGGCAGACCTGGGAATAAAACCCTGGTCTCCTGCCCTCTCCTGCCCTCATGCTCAATCCATTTGAACACAGCTCTCCCAGTTTGTTCTACAACGTTAAGTCACCGCCACCTCGGATAACGCCTTCTCTGTTAAGAACATGAGAGCACCAGAATCTAGCAATTTTAAAGTATCCATGTAGTTTCCCCTTTTCCACACAAAACTACTCAGACACGCAGAACAGAGTCCAATCCCCCATAGGAAAGAAACAACCAGATGGTGAGGCAGAGTGACCGCCATCAAGTACATGCACACCATGTGCTGGTGAGGTGGTTTAATAGTTCTGAAGTTTCCTTATGGTGCCCTCCACCTCCCTTTAAACAGACACCAAAGTGCAGAGTGAATCTCTTACATGTTATTCCTCTCCAGGGAAAAAACCTTTTTTAAAGAAAGATTTCCAGCTTGCAAGAAGAGGGTGACAGCACTGGATCTAAGCAAATTTTACATGTGGGTCCAGAAACTCCTGGTGTCAAAGCTTCTGCTTTACTTGACACACTTTCTACAGAAACCATTCACCAGAGAGGAACTGTGCTCATGTGAGCCCAAGGACACTGGATGAACAGAGATGTTTCCTGATGATTTCTGAAAATGGAAACTCAGTTCTGCACTCCTTTCTCCGTAGGGCAGAAGAGGTAAGGCAGCTTTTCATGGCAAAGTGCTTAGTCTAACAGCTATGGGCATTGGTTGGTCTTCAGAACAGCCCTGGCTTTGGAGGAAACCAGTTGCCTATTTTACTAAGCCGTAGATAAAAGCGCAGGGCATAAGGAACCTCAGTAAGTGAATGAATCCACACACACCGAACGCTCCACCCCCATTCCAAAAGCACCAGCAAGATCTCCTCTTAACCAACAGACAATGGAGCTGTAATAACTTCTTCCACAGATTTGGGGTGCTTTGCATCAAAATCAGTCACAAAAGTTTTTTTTGTTATATGTTGTATTTCCACAATTACCCTATTTAGGACCACAAAATGATATGGCAGCTGCTCCCCAGCTGGAGGTTTCAGATCTTCAACTGGATCTTACACCAGTTTAGTCCAAACCTGAACAGCGGAATGGAAAAGGAAACAGAAAAGAAGAGTTCAGCTTAATGTTTCATAGATCTGATTTTTGAAGACCGCTTTTGGAAAACTGGAATCCTTCTGGCAGTGAGAACTGGAGCTAGGACATTTGTCTGGGAAAGGAAAGATCAGCCTTGCAAAAACAGGAGTATTTGGCATGAACATGCTTGCAGGAGTTCTGAAGCCAAGAGGTTAAAACTAGTTTGTACCTTTCACTAATATTTGATCAGACCATTCAGTTGGGATAGGCAGGTTACTATTGAGCTGACAATCAGCCCAGTGTATTTCAAACAAAAGTAACAAGCCAGATTTATGACTTCAAGCAAAGCAGGTCAGCATATACCTGCTTGGCTACCACGGGAAGTTCTCAAACAGAGGTGGGAACTTCAAGGATATGAGATGCAAAAGTATTGGTCATTCTCTCCTACTGCTTCTCACTTGGCACATCCCAGAGTCTCACAGAGCTTTTGATTGTGAACATAGTGTCCCTCCCCTGCAAAAAACCACCATGCAGTGTAGGTGTTCAATTCGTGATGGTGACAGATCACACATCCATCCAGCTTTCACAAGGTAATGTGTATGAAGCAATCTTAGTTTGTTCTGCCAACCTAACAATAAATTCTGGATGTGACAAAAAATACTCCACCTGCATTCCAAAAATGCTGTCAACAGGCAACAGACTCTGCCAGGAGCTTCCCACCAGCTTTGTCAGCCCTTTCAACACACAACAGGCTATCATTTTTGCTTCCTTTAGAAAAGGTACCAAATACACTGACACACAAGCATAGACTGGCAAAGAGGTTCCTGCAATTGATAGTTTCCTGCTGGAAAGTTACCTTTTAAAAAGTGTCGAGGTAGTGTTTAGATACCAGTTTACCAAGGAAACAAAAGCACATGATCAAGAGCAGAGAAACTCTTCAAGGGCCCTGTATTCTAAGCAGGAGGTAATCAAATTAAGTAATATTAAGGTCCAGTCCATTTCAGCTTCTGTCAAAAGACAGTAGAAATCTCTTGGCAGCCTGAAACAAAACTCTGAGCTTTGTGCACAAGTGCTGCAAGACAAGACCAGATTAGTAAGGCTGTGATCTTTTTCCGTGTTGAGAAAAGAAACAGCAATTGTTGACTAGCCCACTGAACTATTATTAGAGTTACCTTTTGGCTGAAAGCAGATGAGGGATTGTTTGTGATGGGTATCACAACAAGTTAGAAGCAATGGATAAGCTAAACTCCAGTCAGTCAGAAGGAATCACTAGAAGATCGGCTGACCACCCTACACCTGCCTCCTGGGACTAGATTAGACTGAGTCATGTCAAAACAGATCATGATCCAAATCTCTAGATAGCAATGACAAACTAGCCCAGATTGTTGAGATGAATGTAACCCCTGCCCATGGAATTAGCTCCTTCTTCCTTTAGCTTTGCTCATCCAAGGTGTAGCTCCTGTCTGTTTTTATCTCTGTACCACCATGCTAGCTGTCACTGCCTTCCAGACAGTTAGGCAACATGGGAAAGAGATTCTCCTTAAATAGCTATACCACATTTATCCCAACATACCTAGTATTTCAGTTGGGTTTCCAACACAGCTCATTGATACACTAATTTAAATCTTAACACATCTACACTCTTCTAGTCTGGGCTTCTTAATGAGTAGCAACGCAGTTGTGCTATACTGTATCAAAAGATATGGTTGTTTTGACTTGTGGGCAGATGCACAGCAGAGACTAACGGACATATTTTAATAGCCCCACCTCCCTTTTCACAGCACAATTTGTTTCCACCAAAAACCCCACATCCAGATTTTTTGCACCTGTACTTTACAGCAGGTGCAAATTTTAGTAGTTACATGCCTACCCAACTGCAGGTGCCAATCAAGTAGACATATGTAATAACCAAATTCTGCAACCAAAATGAAAAGGAGTACTTGTGGCACCTTAGAGACTAACCAATTTATTTGAGCATGAGCTTTCGTGAGCTACAGCTCACTTCATCGGATGCATACCGTGGAAACTGCAGTAGACATTATATACCCACAGAGACCATGAAACAATACCCCCTCCCATCCCACTGTCCTGCTGGTAATAGCTTATCTAAAGTGATCATCAAGTTGGGCCATTTCCAGCACAAATCCAGGTTTCTCCCCCCCCCACACACACACACACACAAACTCACTCTCCTGCTGGTAATAGCCCATCCAAAGTGACCACTCTCTTCACAATCTGTATGATAATCAAGGTGGGCCATTTCCTGCACAAGTCCAGGTTCTCTCACGCCCTCACCCCCCTCCAAAAACCACACACACAAACTCAATCTCCTGCTGGTAATAGCTTATCCAAAGTGACCACTCTCCCTACAATGTGCATGATAATCAAGGTGGGCCATTTCCAGCATAAATCCAGGTTTTCTCACCCCCCCCCCACCCCCATACACACACAAACTCACTCTCCTGCTGGTAATAGCTCATCCAAAGTGACCAAAATGTGCAGGCACAAAATGCTCAAGCTCAGCTGAAAATTTATTCCCGAGGGTCTGTCTACACTGCAAGTGAAAGTGTGATTGGTCACAGGTGTGCCTATCTAGCTTTAATCTAGCTGCCATGGGTAACAACAACGTACATATGGTGGCACAGACAACCAACCAGAATACATACCCAGGGACTCTACAGGACTTGTACTCCGGCTGCTAACCCATACCTAAGCCCAGGACACCACATGTACTCTGCTACTGTTACCCATTGTAGCCAGACTAAAGCTAGCATAGCTATGCCCACCTTCACTTGCAAGTGTGGACATATCCTAAGACTAGGACAACCAAGCTGTCATGTGTGACATAAAGTAGACTTGATTCCACTGTAGCTGTGAAAAACTGGTAGATTAGTCCAGTATCTCAACTGAATTAATGAGTTTTTATTTCAGTTCTTTGCATGTACTTAAAACACTCGTGAAAGATGTTCATTTATCAATCCTGGAAATGTCGCCCTCTAGATACAGAACATATACATCACACAAATAACGACAGGGCAACTTCCCCCACATTATCCCACCAATGTGCCTCAGCCTTTTACAGAGGGATCACTTATGGGGATAAGCAGAGATCAGTCGACAGGTACATTAGTTCTTGGCATCTCCATAAGGACTGAGCAGTGATTTGTGATAAGGCCATTGTCCACCAGGGCCTGGACGAAAACACAGTAAGCAATCATCAGACAGTAAGAGCTTTCAGTCACTACTGATCGAGGCTGGATTTGATTTGGCAATCTAGAGCTTTATAATCTATAATAATTTATAAAAGCTTTATAATCACTACTAATTCCCTGAGCAATCAAGCTCCAACTTTAAAAGGTTGTTGAGTTCCATCTTGAAGCAGGACCCAGTAAGTCTCATACAACTGTTGGTTTGAGGTGTATAATATGAAGAGGGCAATTGACAGTTTGCTGTACAGTTGCATCTCCTATTTTGGTACCTGCTGTAAGTAAAAGTTATAACAAATATGTAACCTCAGTACAAAGTGGGGTACTATAGAATGGATCCATTTGTACATTACAAGCAGTTTAACCAGTTCATCTACAGCACTGTAGTTCCTAACATTAGGACTTTATTAATGCAAACAGCAACTGAGTGTTCTTGTCCTACATAGCCTGTGTAAAGTACAGTTAAGCATGTTTAAAGGATTTTAAAATCAACTATTCTGGACACAGGACAATACACACCTAGACATGCCTCTTGCAATAATAGGATTCTGAAGTGTAAATAATCCTGTAATTCATTTTTCACGTATTTGTACACACAAGCATCTAAAAAAAAAAGTTAAAATATCACTCAAACTTATTTGTATAGCATCCATCAAGCAAGCTTAAGGAGATTTTAAAACAGAGACAAGAAAAGATCACAAACAGGAATGGTCCAAGGACTGACTATTCCTGAACAGTGGCTCCTGAGACCAAAATGTTGAACAAGGCATCCCCCTGCCCATTTGTTACAGCAAAAAAATTCTTTGGACGAATCCCAAGATGTGTAGGTATTTTTTTTTAAAATCACCTATATTTGAGTCTGAAGATATTGTGGCTTTTTTTTCTTAAACATATTGGAGGTTGGAGAGGGCTCCAACCACTATCAGTTACAGCACCCAGCCAAAAGTAGGTTAACATCAAGGAGGATTTTTAAAATGTGGACCTAGCAGAATCTATCGGAGGAAAAGGGTGTTTTATTTTGTTTTGTTTAATATAAGGTGAGGAGCTGGCAGAGTTAGACGGTCTTATATTCAAACCCTTCCTTAGTAGGTCAGGCGGAGGCAGAAGGGAGGGCTTCACAGTTTGTAACCAAGAAGGACTATCACAATACACACCATGGTCTTGTCACCTACCCATTCTCCTGTTCTCCCAGGGCACCTACCTTACTGTACGTCACTACCGACAAGTTGTTCGAGTGACTGCTGGGGGAGAGATTTACAGAGTTTTGTGACAGTCCATTCTGATCTTGTTCAATTTGGTCAGGAGCAGGCCCCCACGTGTTTTTGCTGATTGTGCCTAGCTCAGAACCCCCAGGGTCTTTTAGGTTGTTTTCATCTGGTTGCCTGTTCTTCTGCGGAGAGGCGAAGGGGTTAAAGTTTCCTTCTACCTTGCGATGTGGTTGTGTGTTGAATTCCGTTTCGAAGGATGACAGCTGCTGCGTTACTCCTAAAAGTCCTCCAACCTCCACGCTGAGGATCACCCAGATGACATCTGTGAAAAGGGAAGGTCATTTAGGTCAGTATTAGATGTAGCTTACAGGGAAAGAGGGAGACCACTCCTGCCCCTGTAATACAATAATAGTATTTTTAACTTGCATAGCATTTTTCAACCACACATTTTTACAGCATTTTACAAACATCAGGTAAGCCTAACACCTCTGAGAAGCAGGCAAGTGTTCTGCCAAGTAAGCAACAGTATGACAAGCAATAAACCAAAAAAAAAGTAATTATTGGCCTCACAACATAAAGGCCCACACGCAGTCTAATTTCCTACAGACTGAAAGCACCAAGGAAGTGAGACTTGCCCGAAGCCACAGAGCAAGAGTGAGTGGCAGACTGAAAGAACCCAGGAGACTACTCCCAGTCCTTCACTTTTCTGCTGCAGAATATGCTCATTTACACCAGCTTCGCTTACATCTGTATGTGAGCAATGTGGCTGAGTTATGTAAATGAATTTCCTGATTTTTACATTAATGGGTTACAGATTGTTGTAATAAGCCATAAATCTAGCGTGTCTGTTCAGTTCATGATTTTAGTGTCTAGCAGAATTACGAATTTAAGCTCCAAGGGTCGACATTTGAAAGTGTTGTGCAGGTTTTCTTTGAGGATGAGGACTGAGAGGTCAGATATAGAGTGATCACTTTGTAAAAAGCATTCACCCAGAGATGATACGGAGTTTTTCCATCTCTTATTTTCCTGTGTCAGTTCATTCGAGTGTGTAGTGATTGTCTGGTTTCACCCACATAGTTGCTATTGGGGCATTTAGTGCACTGCATGAGGTATACCGCACGTTGTGATCGGCACCCAATAAGGACCAAAATGGTGGAGCATCCTTGTTTGATGAAGGTGATTTTAAGTGTGTTCAGGGGTGTGTACAGGGATTAAACAAAGACACTGAATTTATGGCTTATTACAACAACCTGTAACCCACTAACGACCCCTTTTTGTCCTTTGACTGCAGAGGTGTTAACCGGCCACCCGACCTTGAATGGTCCCTTAGAGTGGTGCCCAAATTATTACACAAGACAGCCACAGAAACCTAAGCACAACCTTGTCTGGGCCAAACAAATTCTACATATTTTAATAAGATTAAAAGTCCCCTGTCTTGATTTATATTTTAAGTTCAGCTTGTTTCATATGTATTTAGATAGGTGGTTTCTGCATACAGTATTGTTTATTTACACACTGGTGATGTAAGCATGATGACAAAACACTAATGAATCAGCCTCCAGTATATTGCGTTGAAGCAAGCCACAGGTGTTTTGAAACGCTCTGGTGGGTAACGTATGGCCCGCGAGCTGTCTGTTGGGCACTCGGCCTTAGAATATGTGCTAACCACTTATATTGAACAATCTGTTCCACCTTGCATTTAGCTGTGATGCTCAGAGTACCTTTCCCAGATCTGAAGAAGAGCTGTGTGTGGTTTGAAAGCTTGTCTCTCTCATCAACAGAAGTTGGTCCAATAAAAGATATTACCTCACCCACCTTGTCTCTCTAGTCAGCTGCTGGTTTTCCTCCAGATAAAGTTAATCTGCAAGCAGCCCAGCTGCTTGCAACATGCTGCCAGTGGCTGACGGGGGGAAAAAAAAGAGGACAGCAGATTCCTTTACAGTTTAGCGTGGCTATCAGTGCTTCTCAAAACAGGCCAACTCACAGCACCTCTCTTCTCATTTGGCCACCTTGCTTAGTTTGACAGGGTTTAGCTGCTTTTACTTTACCAAGCGAGACTAGGAGGATTCACTAGCCCCTTTTCAGCTCCCAATATTCCTTTTTCTTAGCTATCTTAGTTCATATATGAACGTATCAACAATCAACAGCCCCATATCCTACCCATGTTTAAATCCCTTATGAAACATCAATTAGGACATTGAAAAGGCACAAGAAATTAGACTAAAACCTATTACTTCTACAGAGGATTCTTCTCTCTTGGTTATACCAACACGGTCAGCAGCTTTCTGCAAAAAAGTCTGGCAAGTAGCGAAGTGGTGCCATCTGCTGTTAATCTCTGGCAACTCCTCAAGTTTTACCCCAGCATTAGAGGGGATGTCAATTCAGGAAAGGCCAGAATGATTAACATGTAATTTTTTAAAGGCTTTTTTCCCCTTCCCGATTCGAAAGGGAACTGCAAAGTTTGGACTTGAAACTTTCTGACATCATTAGTGGAATATCTGTACAGACTGAAAATTATACACAAAGTAGCCCAAAAATTATTTCCTTTACCCACCTGCCAAGCCCATAGTTTAGCCATTTGACCGGAAACAGTGAATGAAATAAATGCTCCCTAATATAAAACAGTTCCTCTACCGGAGAGGCTGGTGTCTGATCCTGGCGTGTTGTACCACATAGGTACAAGAGGCCATGTGTCCTAGAAGTTTTAGGCAATTCCTTGCTCTGGTGGTTGGAAACTGTCTGAGACTTCGAATGATGTCCCCCAGGGCCCGAAACCTCACTTGCGGGAGGTGTGCCCTGGCGTGTGTTGAGTCCAGCACCTCCTCATGAACTCTATTCACTGAACAGGGAAGAGCACTGATTTCCCCATGTTCAGGATAAGGCCCAGTTCATCTGTACCTGCCGCCTGTGCAGGAACACAGCCACGACTGCCATGCATTTGGTAACACACGAGACGCCGCTGACAGGCCAAATGGGAGGTCTGTGAACTGGTAGTTTTTGTTGCTCACCACAAACTTGAGTTACCTTCTGTGGGATGGTGTAATTGCTATATGAAAGTACACGTCCTTCAAGTTGAGGGCAGAATACCAGTCCCCTGGATCCAAGGAAGGGATGATGGAGGCCAAAGAGACCATGTGGAACTTCAGTTTCCTCATTAACTTGTTGAGCTCTTGCAGATCCAGGATGGGCCTCAGCCCACCTTTGGCTTTCAGTATTAGGAAATACTGGGAATAGAAACCTTTGCCCTTCAGCTCCTGAGGAACCTCTTCCACTGCTCCTAGTAATAGGAGCGAGTGCACCTCTGTATGAGGAGTTGCTCATGAGAAGGGTCCCTGAAGAGGGACAGGGAAGGGGGGTGAAGGGCAGAGAATTGGAGGGAGTATCTTCTCTCTACTGTGCAGAGCATCCAGCAGCCCAATCTGATACGGGCCCACGCAAGGGGATAGTCGGGACGAGAAGGTAAGGCGGGATGGATCCAGTTCAAGTTCTGGTGCATCGTCCTCGTTCGCACCTTCAAAAGGCCTGCTTCTGAACGGATGAAAGTTTGGACGGGCCAGAGCCCTGGCCTGAGGACGGGTAAGGCCTCTTCCTGCTGCTCCTGTTTTTTCTCCGTGAGCCATCCTGCCAGTTCTGCGGTTGGTAGAACCGCAGAGGAGGTTGTGGCCTAAAATGCCTCCACTGCGTGGCGGGGGTGTGGAGGCCCAGCGATTTGAGGGTGGCTCTTGGAGTCTTTTAGGCCAGTGGTTCTCCAACTTTTTTTCGTGCACCACTTGAAAATTGCTGAGGGTCTCGGCGGACCACTTAATGATCTTTCCAAATGTTGTTTCTACAATTAGCTAACTACTGTAAAGCCCTTTAGATAAAAGTGCTATATATTTAAATAAAAACAAAAAAAACCCACCTTAACTTTTTTTGTTCTACAAATAAAAGCACACAACTCATATTTTAATATCTGTAGCCTTATCTTTCTAATATGATGATGTGCCCTCTCTCCTCCACTGCGGCATCACCCTAGCTGGGGCTGGGAAGATGTGGGTCTCTCCCCCACCACAGCAGCCTCTGAGCTTAGGCTGGGAAGGAGGACCATTTCTCCCTGGGAGCTGCAGCCCTGGAGCTGGGGAAAGTTGCCTCTTTCTCTGGCCACCGCAGCCCTGCACATCCCAAATTCCCTCCACCCCCTCTCCTCACCCCAGTGGCCCCTCCCACCTACCCCGTATTCCCCCCAAGGCCACCAACTCACCATACGTGGTACGTCTTCTCCAGGGTCCAGGCACCTAATTAGTGGAGCCACATCTATGCGGCTCCACTCATTAGGTGGGTGGCCCTTCGTTCTCTCATGTGCGGCTGCCCAGGCGCACACATCAGAGGGACCTATCCGCGGACCCCCTGAACAGAGCTCACGGATCACTGGTGATCTGCGGACCACCATTTGAGAACCTATGTTTTAGGCTATGTAGCCTTTTATCCGTCTTTTCAAAAAAATAGAGTCACACAGTCAAAGGGGAGATCCTGAGCGGTCTTCTGGACCTCGTATGGCACACCTGATACCTGGAGCCAGGAGCCCCTTCTCATGGCAATCCCTGTAGACATCACCTGTGTGGCTGCATCAGCCCTGTCCAGAGTGGCCTGCAACCAAGCTCAAGAATTGAGCTTGCCCTCCTCCACCAGGGCTGAGAATTCGGCATGGGAGTCCTGCGGCAGCAGCTCTGCGAACTTTGCCATTGCCCCGCATGTATTGTAGCAGTACCCGCTGACAATGGCTGGCTAATTAGAAATGTGGAGCTGCAAGCGCCGGTGGAGTAGACCTTTTTACCAAAAGGGTTGAGTCATTTCGCCTCCCGATTCTTTGGGAAAGGGCCTGGGTAGCCCTGGTGCTCGCATTGGTTAGCAGCGTCCACAACCTAGGAATCTGGTGGAGGATGGGTATACAAGTGCTCGTAGCCCCTGGACAGCACAAAATAGGGTCCTTCATTGCATTTGCCATAGCGGGCAATGAAGCCAGGGTCTGGAACAAGATTTTTGTGGTGCTGGCAGTGATCTTTATGACAGGTAGGGCAATACGTGCTGGTCCGGAGGGTGGGGAGGATATCCACCACAGGATCTGAATCCTCCATTACCTCCTACGCCAGGCCCCGGGCAACCCTCAACAACTTCTGTAGGACCCTGTTGCCCTCCAGGGCTGGGGCTACCGAAGTGCCTGCCTGCACTTCATCTGGGAAGGAAGAGACGCCCGCAAGGAGTGGCTGCTCTCTCCCCTCCGCACCCAAGGGGTCCCGCGGTGCTTGGGGATCCTGGGCTGGAGCCGACACGAACTGTGCATGGCCCTCTGTGCCAGAGCTGTATACGTCGGTGCCAAGGCCACCAGTGCCCAAGTTGTCGAAGCTGGAACCGATGGTGTTGGGGCTGTCAGTGCCGAGGACATCAGTGCTGATACCGCTGGGGCTGGAGTAGCCGACGCCAGTGCTGCAATGGTTAGGATGGCATCAGGAAGTGATGGAGCTACCCCGATCCTGCTGATGTAGACGGTGCTGGAGGCTGTATGAAAGTGGCCAAGGGCACCGATGACGCCCTAGAATGAGACACTTGGCTCTGACCTTGGCGAAAGGCCCAGGGAGTCCAAAAGGGCCACGGTGCCGGGGGCTGCCACTGCACGGGCCACGGTGCCGGGTAAGGGTGCTGGTCTCATGATGACCTGGACTGTCTACTTCTGTTCCTTTGAGATCTATAGGAGTCAGACTCCGAGGTCCCCAAAACGGAGGACCACGGAGGAGCAGTACTTTGAGGCTCTGAGGGTCCATGCCGAGGGCTTGGGGACCGACTAGGCTTCTGACCCTGTTCTGGCACCGGGAAGCAGCACTGGGGATGGAGACCATCAGGCCATCATTGCAGGCTTTCCCCTTGACAGTGCCGGGGGGAACGACCGGTGCCAGCAACCTCTCCCGTCCAGGCAGGGAGAATGGTGCCGTGAGCTGGAGCCATGTGCTGCCTCAAACACCTTTGGAGTCGACAGAAGGTATACTTGTCAGCTCAGCCTCGGCAAGCAAGAAGGGTCAGGACTTGCCCGCCCTTCCACGGGGGCAGGAGTCGTGGCAACCGTCTCTGGCAGTGAGGCTGAAGTACCGTGGCCTGACTCAGGTCTTACAACGGCCGGCTCCTTGGCTCTAGCTGGCGGGGGATGGAACGGCCCCTCTCCGGCCTCCTCTTCTTCTGCAGCACTGGCAAATTGAGACCGGTGCCTGCCTGCGGCACGTGACCCATGAGTGGAGCCATGACGGTGCCGAGAGTCCTTGTTTTTACTCAGCACCGATCCCAGTGTCGAGGGTGCCGGGGCACTGCATACTAAGGAGGAGGTACTCGGCGCTGGGTCCGCTGACCCGGGGTCGGACTGGGGCCAGAATGCCACTTCCATTAGTAGGATCAGGTGCTGATCTCTATCTTTCAGTGTCCTGGGGCGAAACCCCCTGCAGATCCTACAGTGATCCTTTTGATGGCTCTCCACCAAACACTTCCAACACGAAGTGTGAGGATTGCTTCTGGGCATACACTTGCCGCAGACCTCACAGACTTTGAAGCCAGGAGACCACAGCATGCCCTAGCACTGGGATAGAGCTGGAGGGGAAACCCCCCCAAAGGAAACTTAAGTAGTAGTTAGTGTTAACTAAGTAAAGTACCTACTAACTATATACAGATTGCCAAATGCGCTTGTCACGACAAGAGCCAGGGGAAGTTCCAGCTAACCATCACTGGCGGTATGAAGGAACTGAGGGGTGGGCGGGTCAGGAGGGTCCCGTATTGAACACCATGATGGCACCACTCCAGGGGGCACCCGGACTGACCCAACGGATACTGCTAGGGGAAAAATCTTCCAGCTGCCATGCGCGTGCGCACATCTGACTGGAATTGACATGAACAAGCACTCGAAGCAGAAGTAATCATTATTTCCATTACTCCAGCTTTCACGGCTTTTCCCAACTCAACTGGTACGATTTATTTGCAATTGTTATGGCTTTGTATAAGCATTAATAGAGTTTAATTCATGGATTAAAAGTCTCAGGCATGTGACTTGCAAGTTAGATAGCCAAAAAATTGAGAATCTCAATGCCAGCCCAGTAATTTAGCATCATCTGAATTCAATTTTGGAGCCCCCTAGATCCTGTGGGGCTGGGAGAGCTGTGGAAGTAGCACATTTAGTTCCAGGAGAAGCACTGTTATTTTCAAAAAACACCTCTGATTAATGCTCCTAAGTAGCACTGCACTCCAGAGGAAGCCAATTCCAATCCTCTTTAGGGAGGAATGATTGTTTTAACATCTTAGGGGTGGGTTTAGGTGGGGAGGGAAACTGAGGGATGGCAAAATTCTCCTCCCAGTACACACACATTGGGCTAGTCAAAATTAGCTATGCTGCACATATCTGGAAGGATACCTACTGGTAATAGCCAGCTCCATTACCAACATTTTAAAAAAGGGAATTAAAGCATCATATCATTTAAAAAATCTAACAGGAAAGAAACTAATACATGAGTAAGGACCTAAAAACATATGCAGAGATCACCACGGGAAAGCAAATTTCCTCTCTAGATACCCCACGCTTGGAGAAACAAAGACAAAAGAATGCTTCTACAAACAAAATTACTCCCACATTCCAAGCATAAGTAATTTTATGACCAACATCATCTGTAGTTATCCCAGCAAAAATAGGGGTAATCAAACCATGCTTCACAGCACTATCCAATCATGCAGAGGGATCAGGAAAGAATTCCACACACTGTGTACAACACTGAACCAGCTATAAATTATGGGGCGGGATCTTCCTTGGAAGCAAGTTATCACTCTTGATGGGTCTCATTTGATATGAGACCACTTATGTTTCTAACTGAGGAATGTAAATATCAGAAAGAGCTATAGGTGAAAAAAAGCAAATAAGGAAGATTTATAACCTTTACCCCACACTTTACTTCTAATGACCTTCAAAAATAAAAATCACATGCTCTTACATAGCTCTGCAACAACAAAGACAACTGCAGTTATGTAGATATCCTGAACTGAAATAAAAGCAGGAGAGAAAGCTATCCTCTCATTTCAGGTATAAATTACATCCCCTTCAAAGACAGCTCGGCTCTGCTGATAGTTCTCAATAAGCGTGTACTTTTTGAAGAGGGTAATTATTTTGTCCCATGTTGCTAATATTTCTCATTTGACCCCATGCAGTTAGGGCACTCTAATTGACAAAAAAAATCATGAAAATCTTGTTAGCAATGTTCTCGCTAGCCATTAGTACCAGTGAAGGTTCAGTGCAAATCTTAAAGGAGTGAAGTGTCCTGCAGAAGAAGTCAGTGGGTTATTTATTATTCAGGTGGGGCCCAAAATATCTTAGGTACTTTCCAAATACAGGCCACATTTTCCAAAACTGGATGCAAGAAGTTAAGGCTGGTTTTCATTTAGATTTTCCTGGCTTAACTATTTTGATTAAGGGTGTGATTTTTTTTTCCAATTTATCTATTTTTAACAATTTATGTTTTACCAGTATAACAAATGTAAATCAGCCTTAAATCATAGAGTCATAGGACTGGAAGGGACCTCGAGAGGTCATCTAGTCCAGTCCCCTGCACTCATGGCAAGACTAAGTATTATCTAGACCATTCCTGACAGGTATCTGTCTAACCTGCTCTTAAAAAACTCCAATAATGGCGATTCTACAACCTCCCTAGGCAACTTATTCCAGCGCTTAACCACCTTGGCACTTAGGAAGTTTTTCCTAATGTCCAGCCTAAACCTCCCATGCTGCAATTTAAGCCCATTGCTTCTTGTCCTATCCTCAGAGGTTAAGAAAAACAATGTTTCTCCCTCCTCCTTCTAACAACCTTTTACATACTTGAAACTTTTATTATATCCCCCCTCAATCTTTTCTTTTCCAGACTCAACAAACTCAATTTTTTCAATCTTCCCTCATAGGTCATGTTGTTTTCTAGACCTTTAATCATTTTTATTGCTCTTCTCTGGACTCTCCACTTTGTCCACATCCTTCCTGAAATGTGGCACCCAGAACTGGAAACAATGCTCCAGGTGAGGCCTAATCAGCACAGAGTAGAGCGGAAGAATTACTTCTAATGTCTTGTTTACAACACTCCTGCTAATACATCCCAGAATGTTGTTCATTTTTTTTGAAACAGGGTTACACTGTTGACTCACTATGACCCCCAGCTTCATGCTCAAATAAACTGGTTAGTCTCTAAGGTGCCTCAAGTACTCCTTTCCTTTCTGCAATACTCCTTCCTAGGAGGTCATTTCCCATTTTGTGTGTGTGTGCAACTGAATGTTCCTTCTTACATGGAGTACTTTGCATTTGTCCTTATTGAATTTCATCCTATTTACTTCAGACCATTTCTCCAGTTTGTCCAGATCATTTTGAATCAGTGTAGCTATAGCTATATGGGAATAGCCATGCAGTGTAAAACATTTCTATGCTATTATAACTGCACCCAAACTGGGGAAGGAGGGCAGGATTATAGTACCATCAGCACAACTTCCTAGTTTAGATAAAACGTTAGAATTCAAAGTCCATACTTAGGTGCCTAACTAAGCTGCATGATTTTCTAAAGTACATTCCATTAAAACACACGGGAATAAAATTTACAATACCTCTAGATTATCATTTGGATATTAGGAGGCTGACTGGGATACCAGCATCTATTTGGCCAACAGCAATACAAGAACGAAGGCTCCTACCTTCTATGGTTTGGGAGCATTACAAATAAGAGAGAACTACAAAGAGAGGAAAACTTACCTCCATAATAGAGTCCTGTAGCAGTGCACATGCGCCACTGTCCCTGATACATTCCCGCTGTGCTGGGGCTGCACATCTGAACGCTGACATCTGCAATCTCCTGGGGCTCTAGCGATCTGACCATCACCATGTTTACATGGCCAAACTGGTCTCCCCCGACGTACTTAAGACAAACCCCTGGGGGCCATGCCTCTGTCCCTGATTGAGCAGAAAAAGGTATTAAAGTGTCAGTGACAATGCAACTGTAGCGACTTCGCATCTGCTTCTTTTCTGGCAAGTGCCTGCATGAGTAGATAAACATTTTATTAAAAGAGTTACACTGCTCTGTTGAACAGTCAAGGAGATTCCAAGTTGGCTAACAGATACCAGCCTAGTCAAATTTTCTAGTTCTCATACAACAGCAAAGGGAGAGAAAGATTTTCATACAAAACATAACTGTTCCAGCATGTGACCAACTGGAAGGAAAGACCTGTAAAATATGCACAAGTCCTTTAAATTTTGAGAAACCCAGAGCCGTGATTTAACAAAGGCCATCAGTAATCAATAAATCTGAGTGAGAGACCTGTGAGGACACGTTCCGCTGCACTTTAGCCACGTTGGGGACACAAGTAGCACTCAATGAAGATGACCAACTAGTTTTTCCATCTTAATTTTACTGTTTTTGTTTCCCTCCCCCCAATCTCATAACTGAAAATATTTTAACAGGAAACATGAGACATTTTCTGCCAGGGTGTCAAGTTCCTTTTTCAGTTTGTTGGCAGTCTTGGGAAGAGCAAATGCTTTTGTTCTCCCTGTTTGTAAACTTATGAACTAGAAATAACATCTTCTATATTGTTTTATTTCTCCTTCCTGCAGTGAGCCCCTCTCAGCTCCTTGATGGTGTGGCTGAACTCTGACAGTGAAAACTGAGATCCAAGTTTAGACTGAAGTTCTAGGGGCTGATGTTGTATAGCATGAAGGAATGGAGCAAGGTGGTATTTGCTGTACACGCAACAGCTCATTTGAGGGCAGATGCAGCAGTTTCATGCAATGGCAAAAGAGGAGGGGATGGTGAGATGGAAAAACTGTGGAGAATGGCTTTGAAAGAGTTGTAGAGCATGGCTCCAGTGGATGTGTGAATATCAGTGCCAACATGGCATTTGGATGCTCTCTCTGAGATCGTGATATGAGCTGGACTGATAAATCTGGTTTCTGGGCTGTAGCGATTGCATTCTGCTTGCTATAAGTTAATGGGAGCAGTTTAGGGACGTCTGTGAGCTGCAGAGAAATTTGGACAGATATATATGATTATTGCAAGCCGATGCTGAGATGGCAACTCTGGATAGGTATTAGTGACCAAGGGACATCTTGTAGGAGCATTCCTTGAGATACCTGACTTTACGGAAAAATCTGTTTTCTGGAAGTACTGCAGTGAGGGCATGGCAGCGAATCATTATTTGTGGGGTTTGGACCTAGAAAGAAACCCATCAACTGAGGAAGTATCAGTGTGGAATAGTTGGAATGGGATCAGGGCAGCTATTTTGGACCCAGCTACAGTTAGAAACAGCAAGAAGGTTGGGGGCCCTTGGAAAAGGAAGATCTGAGTGATTACCAGGCCTTATGTTGTGATGTGTGGGAGCTATGGAGTGTGGCAACTTTTGTGTGAAAGGGTGTGCAGCCTGGCAACATGGTTTTCGTTTAAATAATATATGTGATTTTTATCAGTTTTAATGGCTTTAAGTTTGCCATGTGCTTAGAGTGCTATAGCTGATAAGCGCCATTAAAATGAAATGATGATTATGTCATTCTATTTCAGTACATGCATTTCTCAGGAGATGACAGATTGCAGTAACCATCCAAAGGAGCTCGCAGCAGCTAAAGGTAGACTGGGATATGGAAGTAAGTCCATTGAACCGGGGTGATTCTTTAGTCCTATTATACAAGATTGGCGAGCCTGCAAAAAGACTATCACACTGTAGGAGGACTGGACCTTAGTTTTTGACAACAGGCAAAAAGCCCCTGCCTGAAAACAGTTTATTCATAAACAGAACTACATGCTTACGGAACTCTAATTGACCCGTTCAACCAACTGAGTACACAACAGCTCTGCTCTCTGCATCAGACAGAAAGCAGCTCTGCCACACCAAATCCCTCAAAGCGATGCCTCACTCTGTTTTTTTCATGTTTTAGAACTGAAGTCATTTAATCAAGGGTTCCTGCAGGATCATTAAGAATCTTGGCTTCACTTCAGCATCTACCTAGCAAGTGCTAATCTTGAACATTCCAGTCCTTGGATATTAAATATTAATTGAAATAATTTTTAAATGTAAGACACTGGCCTAATCTGCACAGTAAAACCACCACCACAAAAACGATAGTTAACCTGGATTGAAGCTAAACCAAGTTGTAACAGTGTGGTCTGGCCTTTGTGGATAAGCCGAAGTATTGTTATAACCAAAATTTACAAAAGAAAGTAATGCTTTAACCCTGGTGGAAGCCAAAACAAAGTTTGGTTTTGACAGGAAGCCACAAAAACCAAGGAATTCTAAGTTGAAACTGTTTCCTTCAACTCCCTACCCACATCCTACAAGACCCAAGGACTTTAGGAAGGGAAACAAATTTTAAAGACAACATAAAATTCACTGAATCTAACAATTATCTAGAAATTTTTTTAAGAAACTGAAAACCCAAGTTTTCATGAAGACACATCTGTTACTTGTGGGAGGGATTTTATGATTTACTCATAAAAACCAAAGGAAAAAAACCAAGAGAATGAGGACGGGGGAAGCAAAGGGTTTTTAGTTACTAAAAACAGGTCTGTCAATCAACAGTAGATTTCACATATGGGGATTTCATTTGGAGCTAGTATTTTCCAGTCTCATCCTGAAGGGTTCTGAAGCTTAGACAGGACCTGGACTTTTAGGAAACTCCACCTCAACTGCTGAGAAGATTATAGTGCCTTTGCCATGGGGGTTGCTAAGGTGAAAAACTTGTTCCCCCTGGATCTATCCCTCATCACTTGTCAAGAATGTCTCGTATTTTACACTAATTGTCCATATATTATATACATAGTAAATGTACAAATTTGCCAAATAGTTTTGCACATTAGAAATAAAGTGCTCAACAGTCACCTTTCCATTTTACCCAAATAGCCACCAAATACACACAGGAAAGTCCAATAGTACACCGAAACCCTTTCCCTGCAATTGGTGTTTTTTCATATGAGCGCCAGCCTACAAAGTGTTGAGTCTATCTTTACCTCACTTCTTGCCCTTATGCCCTGTACCCAAGTAAGTTTTTAGGATGGTGGGGTTTAATAACCGTTTGTTTTATAATGTTTAGCATATTACTATACAGTGCTCCAAGCTCTGTGGCAAGAAGAGTCATTTATGATTTTTAACACAGCTGTAATTTGCTCACACACGATTAAGAACATTAGTCCTCGTTATGCTATCATTCCTGTGCACAGAAGCAGCAAAAGCATGATAATTAAATTCAGATACACAGGTGAACTACTCATGCGAGCCGGTCATTGCAGCACTCGAGGACAAAGTATTATCTCCCTTTGAATCCACAGATCTCATTTTCCTCCCATAATTACATCTCAGTAGATAAGCACTGAGAGTTTATTTTGCCTGGCCTCAATTCAGACTCACACAGAGATGACTGTTTTGGCTCACCTCACGCTGGAATGTTGTCTCCACAAACTTGCATCACATCCTCTCCTCTAGGAACTGCCACAAGATTACTCTGTTCCTAATTTCACACAGTTCACACCGTTTTAATAGAATTGCAACTGTCACAGCCTTGCAATGAGAGTAATTTAGTCTGAGCTTACACCATCTCCTCTCAGAGTTGCATCACCTCCACTGATTTCTTGACACTCTCATGGGTTCTATAAAGTGCCCCACAGTTAATTGAAGGGACAGTGTATAGACCACGCAAAAAAAAGAATGAAATGCAGTTCTAACATACTGGCTGCTCATGAGTTTCAAGGAGTTTAAATAAAACAATTCTGATTTTAAATGGGCTGAGTTCATTTGCTGAAAAATACCCCTTTTTAAAGGTAAACTGTTTCCATCCTCTTGCTGGAAGAGATTCTGATTAGAAGAGCCTTTAAGTGACAGAAAAGACTGAAAATTAGGAATCCTGTACTGAATGAATATCTAAGAAAATAACTTCCTACAGAATTTGCCAAGTAAAGATAAAATGCAAAGGGAGAGACGGGAACTCAAAATACCACTGAACAGCATAATTGGTCACGTGCATCTGTCTGAATCAGAATTTTGGATAACACTGTCCCCATACAAGGGCTGATCATGCTCCAGTTACAGTCTGTGGCAAGGCTACTGATTTCAGTGATGTACGATCTGGCCCCAGAGCACCACTCACTCCATTCACTACAGTAAGGTTAAATCTGTTCCTAGAGAGTTGTTCCAATACAACTATCATCCCAATTAAATACCTCCTCCTAAGTGAAGCACACAGCATAGGGACAGAAGAAGAACTAGAAGAATAAAGAATTCCATCAACAGAAACAGCTGAACTATTTTAGGATCACTTCTGCGTCACATGGTTTTACTTTCAGACAGAATTTGCCACACAAATTCCTTGTCCTCCGAGTTTGAAAAGTTCAGGATATCCAACAGCCAAAACAGAAGGTCTGAACAGGAAAACAAACATCCCCATAAATACAATAGTGCTACAAGGCTACTGTTCTTACAAAGAGCTCAAAGTAAGTACACCCAATAAACTAATGTACTAATGAAGGGAACAACAGAAAATATCAACCCAGTTTAGAGGGATGGAAACTGCTGAAGTGATTGAGCTTGGGACTGAAAAGAAGAGAGGTTGTAAGGTCCTTCTAAACCCATACAGACACCATCTGGCTCTATCCTGTCATGTTACCTCCAACACAAAAGAACCCTCCTGGGAAAGGCAGTGAGGAAGGTAGAAGAGGAAGGGGCTGGGAAGCAGATATCACATCACATTTGCTTTCTTTTCTTTCTAACCTATACACAGGCCTTGGCATTACAACATCTTCAGACTGCTAAGCTTCCTTGGGGAGTTAAGGTAGATAAGACAGAAATTACAGCTCCCCACCTGTCAACATAACAAGCTTCCATTTTGCCCAAACGTCAGTGTCCAAAAAGGTGAACATTTTCAAAGGCACCAAAAAGGCATTTCAATGGTTTTTGGGCACTTAGCTTCCCCTTGTGTCTTTGAAAGCCTCCCCCTTCATTAACACCTTGATATGAAATAACTTTACTCCTGCAGAATAAAAAATCATTTTGAACAAGTGGATCTTTGTTTCTATGAAGTTTCCATCTCAGTTCAATGAAAAAGGAAAGATTTACCCCCATTTACCTGTATTTTGTATTCTCCATGTTTTTGTAAACTGGGTATCAGGAGGGATGGACTCCCCTTCTCCTATGGTAACATCTTCAACGAAGGACATGGAGGGCACATTGATGTTCGGACTCTCAAAGTCATAGTAGGCTCCAATGGCTGCTTGTAGGTTCCTGGAAACCAAAACAGAATGCAGCCTTAAGTACAGACCCATTGAATCAGGTCACTCTCAAGGGTTTATATATTCCATCTCTTAAAGCTAAACAAAAAAATTAAAGAGCATTAGCTCCGTTAGGTTAATTTTGAAGTACAAGGTCTTCTGATCCTCTGGCTGTATGGGATGGATGAAGCACAAAAAAACATGTGTGATTACTCAATTCTCAAGACCAAAATGGTATAATTGCTGGATTGCTAGGATACAGGCCCTGATGCTTTCAAGATACATGGTTAGACACAGAATGGCAGGAATTCCAATCAAGGAGCCTATTTATTTACTGCTGACAGCATACTCAATCCTGAACACAGTCCCAGCACCACGGAGCTTATTATCTATTTCAGACAGAGTGTACTTAAGATGCAGTAGATCAGGTGAGGCTATGACTACACCAGAGAGCTTAAGTGGCACAGCTGCACCTGCACCCAGCTGACAGAGAGCTCTCCCATCGACTTAATCCACTCCCAACGAGTGCCAACATAGCAATGTCAACATCGGTGCTTAGGTTGGTGTAACTTATGTCACTCGGGGGGGTAGCTTATTCACATCCCTGAGCTACGTAAGTTATACCAAAATAAGTGGTAGTATAGACGGAGCCTTAGGAAAGAGATGATTAAGAGATTGACAGAGGTCTGTAAAATCATGAATGGTGTACAGAAAGTGAATGGTGAATTGTTATTTACCCCTTTGCACAACACAAGAACTAGGGGTCACCCAATGAATAGACAGCAGATTTAAAACAAACATATGGAAGTACTTCTTCACACAATGCACAACCAACCTGTGGAACTCATTGCCATGGGGCATTTGAAGGCCTAAAGTATAGCTGGGTTCAAAGAAGAATTACCTAAATTCATGGAGGATAACTCCGTCAATGCCTATTAGCCAAAATAGTCAGGGACACAACCCCAGTGCTCTGGGTGTCCCTAAACCTCCAATTGCCAGAAGCACCTGATACTGGCCACTGTTGGAAGATAGGATACTAGCCTAGATGGATGATTGGTCTGACCCAGTATGGCTGTTCTGATGTTCTTTTTAAATAAACAAGGTTGCAAAGAGTTACCTATCATCAATCTCCCCTCATAATGGAAACAGCCCACTAGACACACGCCCCGCAATACTAGCTAACTGCTTAAGGCAAAAGGAGTAACTATCTTATATGAAAATTAGGTATGTCTGTAAAAGCTATCTGGACTGGGGGGAAGAAGGGATAGAGAGCTTAGGTTTAAATACATGTTAGCCACAATCACGGCTGCATTAACTTGCATCCTGTTTAAGTCATGGATAATGTAACCAATGCATCAGGTGACACTGGAGGAATGTCCTGCAGGACATAATAGGTAGTTTTAGGCAGTCAAACAGGTTAAGGATTTTTTTTTTTAATTGTTAGGTTTTACCTAGCACAGAGCAGACTTTGATCATAATAGCCACCATGCAAGGTTTTCACTGACACACAATCAATGCATTTTATACTATAAGCCATTATTCAACTCTAGGCATTTTCTACATAGGAAAGATAGGACTATATTTAAAACAGCCAGCTCAGTCAAATGTTACAGGAAGGGTGCATGTCACATTAGCCAATAAATGAAAACAAATGCTTGGTTTTATGTCATCAGATGCCAGTTGCTTATACACTGAACAAGATCTACATAACTCACAATGGAGCTGTGCCAAGAGGTTACTGTTCACTCAACTGGTTAATACCATGATCTAGACTTCAGTCTTCTCTGAAATTTCTTCCCCACATTACCCTGACCCAAGGTTAAAGATATTACAGTAGTCAGATATGGTACTACCACACACAGCTCTTCCTCCTCTCCATCCATAAACACACAGAGATAAATCTCCAGACATCCTAAAATGTCTGATCCCAAGTACGCAGCACACAAGCAATAAAACTATTACACTAAGATTAAAAAAAAAACCAAGGAAACAGAAGACAGATCTTGAGGGAAAATTCTTCAACAAATCTGAAAGCAGCCTGTAGTATTTTGTTCTCTGTTTGCTTGGCTGTAAGCATACTTCAGAGGGTAGTGGGGCTATTTGTGCATCAAGGCCCCCTGCCAAGTCTCTTCCCATCCCTGTGTCATATTTCATCAGCTTGCTTTGCCACTGTGAAACAATTCAGAGTCTGCTGCAGCATTTAATAAAAAAACCCACTGAATAAGACGCAAGAAAAGTAGACTTCCTGTCCCAGTGTGTCCAGGTATCACGACCCCTCCCTCCCTGCCTGCCCGCCCCCACTCCACACAAAGAGTTGGGTTTTGCTTTGTTGTTCTAAATGCTCGGGCAGTCGCAACAGACGATTCAAGGAAATTTATAGAGACTAAGTAGAAAATGAAAGTAACAATATAGAAAAGTAGCAAGAGAATGACAACGCAAATCTCCAAAGTTCAAGCAGGAGAATGCTTCGACACTGAACTGCTTCAAGAGAGTCTACTGTGAGACAGTGTGGCATAAATCATGCACTGCCTGGTTACACAACCAGCAGACAGATTAGACAGCAACATTTCCTTGTTGTCTTTGTCTTTTGGGAGACATCAAATGGAGTATGGGCTTAAATATGATACCTCTTCTTTTGGGAAATCACACCTTGCACCAGCCAATGGACACACTAGGAAACCATCTGAACCTTGAACTACAAAACCACAGGAAACCCTGATTCAGTTCCCCACCAATAACCCCATACCTCCAATTCAGTACCAGAGACATTTACAAGCACAAACTTTGAAAATCAGAAAAATACTTAAAAGCAGAGATCTGCAGATATCCGTGGACCATGTTTGCAGATCAGATGCGGATACAAATTTTGTATCCACATAGGACTCTACTTAAAAGCTGATTTTCATCTCTCCTCCCGAAAATCACTTCACTGGTTTCAAGTCCAAACAAGCACATTTGAAGCCCTGCATGGTGCCATCTCTTGTCTAAGTTTCTGTCCTCCCTCCCTATTACTATTTCTGTGTATCACACCAGTGTGTGAAGCACTTTAGAGTCAGGTACAAAAACAAGGCCCCCTCTCTGAAGCATTTATGATCTTACAAACTCCTGATTTATGCATTCAATCCTGCTATCCCCTCCCACTTACACAAACCCCTTGACTTCATTCCTTCGTCTATGCTGCCCTACATCTGGTGCAGAAGCCCTCTTCCAGTGTGACAGCCCACCTCACTCTTCACTAAATCTCTCCCCAAAACTCACTACTCACCAGGCCTTCTCCTGCCTACATGACAAAGTTATATATAAACTAATAATAAATGTGGAACTGTTAAGACAAGTTCTAACTTAACCAACATAATCCACATGAGTAAACTGTCACAGTTCCAGGGTTAGCTGCTTTGTCAGCTTTCTGGTCTCGCTGAGTGCATCTCCTTCAGTCCCTGGGCATTGTGCCTTTATGTATCTCAGGTGGAATCACACAATCCACCCACTCGTAGATGGGGCCCAAGGCTACAGTACCCCATGTGCTGACTGTGCTTACTTTGCCAGTCCAACTGGGTTCAGCACCTGCAATTCTTTCCTTCGGGAGCCTGTAACCCGTGGTGAAAAGAGTGACCAGACAGGCTTAACTACCAAGTTATTGCTGAACAATAGAAACAAAGAATTTCAAGAAAAAGGATTTTAAAATAGAACACTCTACACAAATCTATCTTGCACAAACGTTTACAATCCCCTGATGGTAACTTAGGCTGGCCTAATTTCTTCAGACACCCCCAGGCAGCGTCTGTTTCATAGTCCCCCAAACAACTATACGCTCTCAAGAGAATGTTTTTTTTAAACCTGCCAGGAGTTCTTTTCATCTGTCCTGGTTCAAACCAGTTTTGTAGGCTAGCTAGAGACGAGGAAAAAGCTAATAGCCCTGCCACTGTCCCTTAACTTCCAAATGTTTCAGAAGAAGTGGTTTATCGCCAAATTAGTCAGGCCAGCTAGATGCCTTCCTTCTCATGCCCATCTCTTTTGTCCAGACTTTGGTAAGATTGTAAGCAGCTCTTACCTTCTGTCACTTTAGGCAAATGTGTGGTGTTATGTTAAGTATGCACGTATATGGTACTTTTCAAAGCACATTTACAGATGTTAATTGAGCTTCATTCTCCTTTGCAAGGTAGGCTACTATGATCCCTCTTTTCCACATGTAGAAAAAAAATAGGCAAAGGAGGTAACTTGCTTAAGGCCACACGGAATGGGTAGCAAAGCAGGGAACATAATAGAAGTGTCATGATAACCAGTCACCGGCTGTAAACACTGCTATTTTCTCACTTGAGTCTCTATCTTCACTACCAGGCTCATTTCTAACATAGCGAGTGTCCTCCAGAGAAGAAAAGAAAGGAAAGTTACCTACATTCTCTCTTACACTACAGTTGTAATCTGGATATCGGTGTCAACCTTCTCAGCTTCAAACTAGGTCAAGGGCAAGCTGAATGGGAATGAACTGTGTAGTATCTATTAATTATGGGCTTCCAATAATACTCTGCTCCAGTCACCAAGCGAGGTCAACATGCGGAAAGGCACTTTGTTGCCATAAACTCAGCTTCTGAACGAGGGGTATGAACTGAAGGACAGTATACACCCTCTGGGTTAATTTTACTCAAATGCATTCTGTCATGTTTTAAGATTTCATAAGGAAAAGTTTCACAATGGGGAATAAAATATACTATTGCTAAAGTGACTTGTGAGATTAATTCTTGTCTGTGAAGTGCTCTGAAATTTTTTGATGAAAGATACTATGTAAATACAGATCAGAGCACAAAGATATTGTTCAAAGTTAGTGATTCATCTTCATAATAGATCAGTAACTCCAGAAATTTACATACTGATCTTTTATTGGCTTCTCCCCATCCCTATAGCCACACCACCATCTAATTACCTCTAGCTAACAAGAGTATGAAAAACAAGTAAATCACAACCCTTACTCTTCCTACAGAAAAGCAGAGCAGAAGAGTGATGCAAGAATAAATC